GCTGACAGTCTGTACTGCTTGTCTGTAGGGGAGGATACAGCAGAATGACCAACTGAGGATGGCTGTAGATCATTAAACTTGGCATGAACCATCATCTAATGATAATTTAATGTTACATTTGGCTGTACTTTCTGTCTATAGGTAAAAGCAGACAGGCTGTGTTGTGTCACTGGTCACATGTCATAGCTCCACCAATCATGACGTCCTCAGCCTTCATCCTGTGGGGTCTAACTGAAGGTGGGTCCATTTCATATGGTTTATACATTCTTGTTTTTTGATAAATGTAAAGAATGCTTTGAAAGCTGACAGATTTTAATTATTTGTGTCCTGTTAATAAAAACAATAATCGATACTTTATTAATCCCTGTGGGGAAATTGTCCTTATGGCTTCCTCAACTCGTTCTTTTGTAGAGTAAGTTGTTCGCAAAGGGCAGCCACCTGTTAGGGTGCCCAGGGAGCTCGGGGTTAAGGGCTTTGCTCAAGGACCCATAGGCGATTATAGGCCCACAGGCTCATCCCACTGAGCCACCCACTGCCCTCTAAGTTGTACAATCTATAATGGTTTTATGGTGAAGAACAGCAGTAAATTAAATGAATGTATAAATGTTATTGGCTAAAGATCCAGGAGAGATCAGGAATTTCACTAGTAAATGTTTTTATGAATGAATAATGTCTGTATAAATAAGCAAAGGAAAAATAAGGATTTTATTGATGCTGTTGTGCATTGAAATACAATGGTACCTCAGAACTCGAACTTAATCTGTTCAGAACTCCGGATCGAATCCTAAAAAGTTCGGGTTCTGATCGAATTTTCCCCATAAGAAATAATGGAAAATCAATTAATTGGTTCCCGGCCCCAAAAAATTACACCTAAATATGTTTTTTTTAGCATTTAAACACAAAATTAACCGGATAAAACGAAAAGAGCATATACTGTACTAAACACATCTAAGGACATTCATCAAAACAGTCATTTGTAACGTAAGAAAATAAATGTATCCAATGTGTAAAGTTAAAAAAAACCAATATGTCCTGCTCCGATCGTCTGCTCCTTCCGTGTGCCACGCCCCCTCGTTAACTCTGTGTGGGATCCTCCTGTGATCAGCTGTTTCTGGTTGTTGTCATGAGTCCACTGTATCTTGTCCGCGTTTCAGTTTGTTTCCCCAGTCCGGTCATTGTATTGTCCGTCTGCGTTTTGCCTGCCTTACCTATAATTAAACCCCGTATTCCCCGATACCCTGACGTCTGCGCCTTTGTCTCCATTCCATCCCCGCTCGGCACGACAATATTATTGTAATTAAATGTATTAATGGTTTATTATTAATATTAAAATAATTAATAAGAAATCTTTGTTTTAAAATGTATTTTATTATATAATAATAATTACTGTTATTAAATGTATTTTTACTGTCTAAATATATGTATTCATGCTATCACAGCAAATGTGAGGCTGAGACTGAAGCGTTACCCTTTGTTTCCGCTGAGAGACGTGCCGTCTGACTCATTTCCCCGCGCGTACAAGTTATCTTCATGGTTTGACTTCTGAGATTCAGATCGAGTTCTAGGTAATTTTTTTCCGAACTGGTTGGTTCGACTTTTAAGAAATTCGAGTTCTAATGAGTTTGAGAACTGAGGTACCACAGTACCTGAATAACACCGATAGCAGAGAGTTAATGGAGATTAATGAAAAACGGGAGCATTCTATGTTTTTTTCTGATTGGCTGACAGGTGGACCCCACTAAACACACCTTTTAGAATATTAACACTTCCTCTTTTGGCGGCTTCATTGACATTTGCCTTTGGTGGTGACGGACATGACTTTGAAAATCAAAAGTCAGTCTCATAAGTTTTGTGAGGTTTATTTTGAAGATCATCTGTGCTACATTTAATGAAGACTGGACAAAATTTGTGGGCGTTCGACAATTATTGAAATCTTTCAATAAAATCCAAAAAGGGGACCATGATCACTTAGGGTGATATGACATATTGCCACGTGTCGACCTTGGGACCTCCCACACTATTTCCAGAGACAAGAATAATTTTTCTAGGGCAAACACATCAAAAGTTATTAGCCAAAATGCATTTTTGCTTAATTCAGTATCCCCTAGTCGTCAGATGTCATTATTTTTCTTACTTCCTCAAAACGGGGGCCGACAGGGCGGCCCGTGGAATAGGCAATATAGGCAAATGCTAAGGGTGCCATCCATCCAGGGGGCGCCTCAAACGGAGGAAGAAAAAAGTGTAACATTCCACTATTCTTAAAACTAGTTGGTATTAATGGTCTTAATATGAAAAGAACAAACCCACATGGATTTACCTGCTTAGCAAAGCCTATTAAGTAGTAGTAGTAATAATAATAATGATACGTAACTTTCCTATGAGCCCCCCCCCCCCTTGTAACTGCCCTCAATAACGAACACGAACACAAGTTGATCTCTGACGTCCATTTCTATGCCTTTCTGTGACTCTTCCAGTCTCTCTGTATCTCTGTTGCAACCTGCTGATGACACTGTGACACTCTGTGCCACTTCCATCTGAGAACATCCTGTTTGAAGCCTCGCAATGGCGAGATACTGTTGCTCAATTGTTAGGTGTCGTCTTGGTCTCATGATGTCAAAACGTGAACAGCATGATGAGGAGGACTGTTTATAAACCAATTCTGATTGAACCAGGAAATTTATTGGTCGATTCATGGATCAAACACCTGTTGTGAATTTTGCCGTTAAGCTCCTTGTTAGAGAACAGCAAGTTGTGTAAAAAGTACTGAAACATTGAACAGTTGGACATGTGCATTCAAAAGTTTAGGGAAGGTCACATGAAGTTCACCTGTAAAGGTTATGGGGCATTTTAGGTTAATCCTGACATTTCACCCGAAAGCCGAATATCCCTAACTTTTTGTGAGTAGGGTAAATGTTTAATATAAAATTGCTCCTGAGGAGGATCAAAAGATTGATGTAGTAAAAATTTAGTCTCCCTCACTCAAAGCCTGAAGGACTTGGTCGCAAAACTAAGTTTGGCATATTTTGCATACTTAAGGAGAAACACTGAATGAATATCTGACTTATGTTTCATGAGTTATGAACCAAAACACATTTTGCTTTGTTATAGCGCCCCCTTTAGGTTAACATGCCAGTGTTTGCTTGTGACCAGGGGCCTGTACTACGAATCGCGGTAACTTGTCGAATTTAAGGTAGTCTGGGGAAAATGTAAGTGAACGAATATGAAGTCCATTTAAACTGTGGTACCTTAAATCCATCAAGTTACCCCGATAAGCCAGTAACCCCAATTCGTAGTACAGGCCACAGAAGTCCTCAGGCTTTATCCCCATGTTAATATGCTGAATGGTGTGGACCTCAGAGTCACAATATGGAACCTGGATGCATTTACCCTCGTTATACTGCCCCCTGGTGGTTGAAGTGGATGCAATTTTTGCAGTTTTCTCAGGTTAATGTCTAATACCCAGCCTGAAAATTTTGTGTCATTAACTGACGATTTAGGCTACAGAGCCAGTTTTCTCTGTAGCGCCCCCTATTTGTGTATCTGCATCAAACTTGATCTGAATAATTTACTGAAGGTCCATCCCATTTTGACAGTGATTCATAGCAACTAACGTAAATTTGCATTGAAAAAGCTGAAAAACAAACCAAAATAGGTATCTTGTTGAAAGCCAAAATAAAAAAAAAGTGCAAAATAATTATTGCAGTGGTCAGGCCAAGGATTACACCAATTCTTTGTTTCTGATTGAAAAATCCAGTGACGAGTGTATAAAAGTAAGTTTTGCAAATTTTGCAAAACGGCAAATAAATACATAAATAAATAATCATAGGCAGAATTTTGCATGTACGACTCAGTTCAGGACATAAACCAAACGTTTTGTGCATTACTGCAGCACCCCCCGGTGGTTGACATGTGTCATTTTCTCCATGGCCCTGGACCTCAATGATCATGATATACCTATCCTGCAAGTTTCATATTTCTAAGTTGGACTGGACTGTAGAATGACCTTTTACACAATTTACAAAATAATAAAAACAATCAGGGCAAAAACATTAGGGATATGGCAGCTAGCTGTTGGAACCCCCCCAATAATAATAATAATAATAATAATAATCATCATAATTAATAATTATATAATGCTCATAATTAATAATAGTCAATTCTGGTGAGACTTAAGAAACATAGGAGATTTGAATGATGTATTATTGTTATTTGTTATTTAAAATCCATGTAATTATATTATTGGCCACTGGTGGCACTGTTTTTTTATTATTTAATTCATTTTGTTTGCTATAAGTTACTAAGTTTTACAGTTGCATTCCCATAACCCTGTTTTTCTCATTGATGTGTGTATTTTAGTATGTGATTTTTGTGAATGTGAGGATTTTCAGAAATGCATTAGTCGCATTGTAGCAGGACTGACTGTATCTGAAAGTACAAAGTGAGACATAAACACAATGTGATAAAACAAACATTTTAACAGCAAGGAAGCGCCACCTGGTGACTAAATATGGAATTTCAAATGCAAGCTGTCAGTCATCTTACCATTAATGCAATATCCACTGGGAAGTTCAGAAAGGCAAGAGGATGTTGTGACAGGAAGAGTGGGATCCAATCTGCCACCTGCAGATAAACCTGCAGAACGATCCCTCAGTGTCATCTTGTGTGACTGGTGTTTCCAGGAAGACTGGGATCCAATCTGCCACCTGCAAATAAACCTGCAGAACGATCCCTCAGTGTCATCTGGCGTGACTGGTGTTTCCAGGAAGACTGGGATCCAATCTGCGAACTGCAAATAAACCTGCAGAATGATCCCTCAGTGTCATCTGGTGTGACTGGTGTTTCCAGGAAGACTGGGATCCAATCTGCGAACTGCAAATAAACCTGCAGAATGATCCCTCAGTGTCATCTTGTGTGACTGGTGTTTCCAGGAAGACTGGGATCCAATCTGCAACCTGCAAATAAACCTGCAGAACGATCCCTCAGTGTCATCTGGTGTGACTGGTGTTTCCAGGAAGACTGGGATCCAATCTGCCACCTGCAGATAAACCTGCAGAACGATCCCTCAGTGTCATCTGGTGTGACTGGTGTTTTTCAGGATCCACAGGAGAGGCTGTTACTTGTGCTGTCGTCAGTCTGCTCAGTGTCCTGCTGTTGTTTAATATGGCTCCGTATCAGGGATTATTAACAGGTATGTTTTCTTATGTTTAATGTTCTGTTTTCAATGTGCACTATTAAAAGAAGGTGAGTTTTGAAAGTGATAGATGTATATATCACTTTCAAATTTTTTTATATATATATATATAAAATCATGTACTTCTTTATTAACTCAAATGGTTGCAAATTCAGTGTTTGTTCATTGAATCTGATGAATACCAGTTCACCTTGAATATCATAATTATCTGACAGCACAACTGTGACTTGAGCTGTGTTGTATTTGCGTTGTATTTATTAAAATAACTCTGATATTCATTTACAGACAGGATGGGTGTGATTAAATACATGGCCCTGTCTTTAGGAAGCTCCATCACTGTCACAGCCATATGCACTGGTAAGTTTAACAGTGGGGGTGGTGTACATGTCAGCGGGTTTGGGGCCTGTGTCCATGTCTGGAGGGTTGTGGGTTCAAATCCCATTCCTGGGAGAGTCACTATATCACTGTTAGGCCCGTGAGCGAGGTGCTTAATCCCAGCTGCTTCAGGGATGCTGGCTAAACCTCATCTCTCACCCCATGTGTGGAGGGTTGTGGGTTCAAATCCCATTCCTGGCAGAGTATCTATATCACTATTAGGCCTGTGAACAAGGCCCTTAATCCCAGTTGGGTCATGGATGCTGGCTGACCCTCATCTCTCACTCCCAACTGTACCATGCTTTAAACAAAAGCTAATTAAATTAGAAAATCATTTCTTATATATTTGTTTTTTTAATTACGCATCTTAATTTTAATAAGTATTGTAAATATGTCAGATTTATGTTAAGTTTATAATTTGACATCAAAGTATAGACATTGCAAAATGCAGT